AGAGAGAGAGAGGTTGACAAACTTAACCAAAGATCACCAACAATTCAAAGTAGATAATTTGGAGATGATACAGCCTGAATTCAGACACAATTGCAATCTGTAACTGCAAGCAAGAGGGAAATGAACAAGCATGGGAAAGAAAGAAGAAAGAGGAAAAACAGTTGCCACTGAAACAAGCTTTATTTTTCACTTTTGCCCACCAGTATGGACTGGTGGGCTCAGCCTGTTTCTGCACAAAATATTCAGAGATTACAAACTCAATCCTGTACCAGAACCTATTTACAGAGAAAAATCTATGGCACACCTGTAAATTTTTTGAAGCTTTTTATTCAGACCTGTAACGAGAGGAAAATCTTTTCCTGATTCCAAGCCTTTTTCCATAAGAATCAGAAGTTTCTCCAAGCAAATTCTCTCTTGGGTTAAATTTGTTCAAAAGCAGCTGCAATTCTCTGAAACTCCTTTGCGAAAATGTCGTTGCTCTGTAATTGTTGGCTCTGGTCTTGATGCCATGAGCTCAAACTGAATTGGTCCTCTGATTTTATCTCACTATATAATGGCTGGTTCTGGTTTTGAATTACTCCTGATATTTGGTGGACTAATGGGAGATGGAGATAATCACACCATTTCACATCCTCTGTTTCTCCCTCTAAACGAATAGGTGCATTTTTCTCAGAACTTATATCCAAAGAGTCAACCCTGCCATCTGCTGAGCCCCAAGAAAACACACTGTTCTCAAATAAGGAGGTGGTGTTAGTGCTTTGAAACTCAATGCTACTACTGCTCCCACTGTTACTACTATTGTTACAGTTTCTTCCAGCTTCCCAATACTTATCAGCCATGAATTCTTGGTTAATGGAGGGCTTAAAGTTTGGAGATGGTTGGATTATTGGGGTTCGCTTGCAGGCAGGAGAATCCATTAAGCTCGAAGTAACAGGAGATATGTCGGTTAGAGGCCTGCAATTTTGATTGAACCATGGATTTGGAGTTGGGTTTATCGAGAGATTCATGGGGTTAGCCTGGTTGGTGCAATTTGAGCCATAATTCACTGGGTTGAGTGGGAAATAGGGACTGCAATCTGATGAACCTCGACAACTCGAGCTTTCATGGCTGTTTATGAACCTCTCGAGGAAGAACTCTTTGGAGAGAGAATTTGTAGGTCCTGTATTGGTGCTGGTGGTTTTGAGTTTGGGGGTTAAATCCTCAACTGGGTTTGTCATCAGCGGGGGCTTCAGGTTAGGCTTGACTTCGGTTTCGGGAATTGAAGATGGAGCGAGGAGCTTCAGTTCGTTGGACCCAGAAGCTTTCTCATTCTGGTTTTGAGTCTTCTCTTCTCCATTTTCAACCTCAGAGAGTGGTTTATGAGTAGTGGGGTCTATACCTCTCTGCCTGAGCTTTTTCTTTATGCATGAGTTCCACAAGTTCTTTATCTCATTGTCCGTTCTTCCTGGTAACTGTGCAGCTATCTGAGACCACCTGCAAAACCCAAATCTTTAAGGTAAATTGCTACCATAAATGAGAAACAAATGAAGAAAGTTCTGAATTCAAATTTGAAATTACCTGTTTCCCAGAACAGCATGGAGCTCAATTATCATGTTCTCCTCTTGCTGAGAAAATGTGCCTCTCTTTAGATCTGGCCTCAAATAATTGATCCACCTCAGCCTGCAACTCTTTCCACACCTCTGTAGCCCTACAAGTTTAACCAAAGATGAAAACTTTCAAGCTTGAAACAAAGAGCACCTCTCTCTCTCTCTC